GCCGCCCCGTGCCTTCGGATGCCATCTCGAGGGTCAGTCTGGAACGTGTCGGGGACCTCTTCGGGCTCTTGTGGGCCGTCTTGGGAGTTTCTTTAGCCGTCCTCAGGACGTCTTGAGACGTTTTGGGCTGTTGGAAGCCCGCGAAGGAGAGAATGCGAAAACGAACAAAACATAAGCATCCTGAAGAAGGACCCAACCATACACAGTTGTGAGTACAGCACTTGTGAATATCGCTTTCAGTAGAGCTCCCTGTGGGGCCACGCAACGTGTGAGGGGCGTGCCAGAAAGGGCCTGGGGACGCATGCGGGCCCTGCCACTGGGGCCTTCGGTGGAATTCTCTAACGTGTGAGGGGTGTGCAGAAATTGGCCTGGGGGAGCATGCGGGCCCTGCCACTGGGGCCTTCGGTGGAACTCATCATGGGGCCAGGGAACGTGTGAAGGATGTGCCAGAATGGGCCTGGGGACGCATGCGATGCGGGCGCTGCCATTGGTGCCTTCGGGGAAACTCCCTATGGGGCCACGAAGCGTGTGATGGCTGTGCAAGAGCGGGCCTGGGGACGCATGCAGGCGCTGCCACGGGGGCCTTTGGTGGAGCTCCCTATGGGGCGGCGAAGCGTGCGAGGGGTGTGCCGGAATGGGCCCCTGTGGACGCATGCGGGCGTTGCCACGGGGTCCTTCGGTAGAGATCCCTATGGGGCCACGAAACGTGTGAGGGGTGTGCTGACATGAGCGGGGGGACCGCAAGCGTACACACCCCGCGCTCTGGGGCCTTCTCCAGAGCTCCCTGTGGGGTCACGAACCGTGTGAGAGGTGTGCCGCCTTGGGCGCGGGAAAGCCATGCGGGGGCGGGGAAGCATGCGAACTACGCCACTAGGACCTTCGGTGGAGCTACTTTTTTGAACCACGAAACGTGTGAGGGATGTGCGGAAATGGGCGGGGGGGGTGGGGGCGCATGCGAACTGTGCCACTGGGGCCCTACGTAGTTGGAGCTCCGTATGGGGCCACGAAGCGTGTGATGGCTGCATCGAAATTTGCATGCTGCGGTCAGAGGCAGGGATGGGGATGATGGGCAGCTGGAGGAATGAGTGGACGCCGGGCGCTGTCTTTTCAAAACGAAGACCCAACACCACAAGATGTGTGGGAATGACAAGTAGTACCTTTGGTTTTCCCCCTTGGGGCCTCTTATGCCATCTTGGGCCGTCTCGGGGCCATCTTGGGCGACCAGTTGCCGTCTTGGGGGAAGGGTGCCTCGTGGTTTGTTTTTGAGGCATCTTGAGCCATTTCTCTTGTTTTTTCGGAGGAGGGTTTTGTGTCCTTCTATTGTGGACGGCGGGTTGGACTGGCGGATCCAACACGCCGACGGTGAACCACCACCGCCCCTTGCCTTTTAGGATGCGCCAACGTGGCCAAACGGTAGGCCAAAGCCTGGCCAAAGCCTGGCCAAGCTAATTGACTATGTATTCCCTCAGACGTTGTGGAAACCCTTGAGGGGATGTTCCGGGGACGAGTACATTCATCTATTATATTTATACGTACGTAGAGACTGATATATGTATACACATGGGGATAGAGGGAGAGAGAGAGAGAGAGAGAGAGACAACCAGCGAAATGATGAATATACGGAGAAGTATCGAGCGACATACAGGGAGAGAGAGAGAGAGAGAGAGAAAGAGAGAGGGATGCACACACACACATATGTATATGTATACACACTCATATGTACATTTATTATATATATACATCTGCATACGTCGAGAGAGAGAGAGAGCGATAGAGAGATACATAATGAGCAAGAGAAAGAGAGAGAGAGAGAGAGAGAGAGAGAGAGAGAAAGAGAGAGCGAGCGAGCGAGAAAGAGAGAGCGAGAGAGAGAGAGAGAAAGTCAGAGGGAGGGATCTGCAGTTATGTATATGTGTATTTATACATATCTGTAGAGAGAGGGAGAACGGGAGAGCAAGAGAGCGAGAGAGAGAGAGAGGGCGACACTATGTAGAAATATTTTTTATTTATATTTGTTTATATATGTATATAAACAGAGACACAGAGAACGAGAGAGAGAGAGAGAGAAAAAGAGAGAAAGAGAGAGAGAGAGAGAGAGAGCGAGAAAGTGGCAGGAAGGGAGGGATGGAGGGAGGAGAAGAGGATTAAGGGAGGGAGGACAACGAGCACGACAAGGAGGAGGAGGAGGAGGAGGAGGAGGAGGAGGACGAGGAGCCCCTCGGGGACCTGGGGCCCCTTGGAGGCCTCTCGGGGGCCCCTGTGGGGTTCTCGGGGGCCCCCTTGGGCCGCCCTGGGGCTCCCCTGGCTCGTCTGGCGCCCTCGAAGGCCGTCTTGGGAGCAGGGCTATGTTCCAGGGGAGCGCGCAATGGCATAGGCATCATAGCTCGGAGGTCCGCGCGGATCTCGCGGACCGGCGCGCCCCGCGCGCCAGGGAGGGCCTCCTCCTTCCCCTCCCCCTTCCCCTCCTCCTCCTCCTCCCCTCCTCCTCCTCCTCCTCCTC